CAACGAGGCTCCAAGAGGCCACGAACACGCAAGCAAACGCCTGCGATGGCACAATACGGGCCGGCGGAATGAGCGAAGCGATTAAATAAATACACACAAATAAAAAGGTTCCCCATATTTTCCCATACTTTCTGGGTTTTTGTCTTCCCCCCCCCCCACTTCCCATGTTTTCGCCTATTTTCTGGGGAATCGACGACTAATCGTGTCTGTGTGTTTCTTTCGCTCCTGAATGGTGAAGCGCACGGTCGTGCCGTCGAAGGGGACCTAGCAGCGCCGTACCCAGCTGGGCTACCCTCAGCTGCTGCTCAAGTCGGACGGAGCCTACCATCATGGACGTGAAGAGCAGTGCCGAGGAGATGTGCCAGCGGGTGGGCATCAAGGTTACCTTCCAGGAGATCCCCGCGTACGACCCACAGACCAACTGCGCCATCGAGGGTACGAACCACATCATCGAGGAGCTCATCAGGTGCTTGAAAGACCAGCTGGACTTCCAGTACCAGAAGGAGTTCAGCTCAGACAATCCCGACGTGGCCTGGCTGGTGCAGCACGTCGGCTGGGCCCACTCTCACTTCGCCGTTGGGGGCGACGGCAAGACCGCAGGCGAGCGCCACACTGGCAAGAGGATGAAGATCCCGCTGTGCGCCTTCGGAGTGTCTCCTGTACAAGCCGACGAGGAAAAAAGGAAGCTGGTCAACATGGTTGCCGAACTGGGAGCCTGGCGTAATGCCAGGCATGGCCGAGAAGACTCAAGAATACACCGTGGGTCGCATGGAGGACGTGCACGCTGTGAGGTGCCGTGGCATCAAGCGGGTACCGCTCGAAATCGTCGGCCGTGGACGCCCTGGGAATGAGCGCCAACACCAACACAACGGGCTGCCTCCACAGGGGGAAGATGATCCTAGATTTCGGTGCTGGTGGTAAAAGTTCGGTCACCTTGGCAGCCAGAATATTACTCCAGATTTCGTAATAAAGGGAGGGGGGTCTCAGTTCGGGGGGGGTCTCTTCCAGGCTATCTTGGAGGGCCTGGGGGGTCTGGGGACGATGTTTTGGAGGGTTCTCCCACGGGGGAGGTCTGAAATGGCTTGTCTTGGAGAGTCCAGACCCCCTCCCTTTTATCACGAAATCTGGAGTACCATCATCACCGAGATCGGGATCTTCTTCCCTCGGTGGAGGCACGCCGCCGATGCTGGTGTTGGTGTCAACCTCTAGGCCTGCGAGGCCGTGCCTGCTCTTCGAGGCATTCCGTGGCCACCGACGCCCGGTCGGGAAGAGCGCGCGGGCGTCGAGGCCTCGCAGCCGGCCTCGGCGCCGATGGCCGTCGAGGGCGCCGGCGTCCCGGCTGCGGGCCCCGAGGTGAGCGACCCGACGTGCAGGAGACACTACATCACCAAGCAGATGCTCGAGAAGTTCGGGAGGGCGCCGAACTGCCCGGCGTGCTTCCCCGAGTCGGAGGGCACCAGCTATACACCAACACCGATCCTGGCCCAGGATCACCCTGGGCCCATGATCGGTGTATATGCCTTCTTGCCCAAGGCAGGAGGGCGTATACACCGATCCTGGGCCCAGGGCGATCCTGGCCAGGATCGGTGTTGGTGTATAGTTGGTGCCTTCCTACCGAGGCTCTGACCTGCGGGGCGCGCTGAGAGCCTTGCGGCGCGGGGATCATGAAGGCATGAAGGCCACCATGGACGGCCTGGCCGAAACGGAGACGTACCCAAGCCGCCCCACGCTGGAGAGATGCGCGCCGAGGCTGGACAGGTCCCGAGCGGACCTCCAGCGATCGAGCCACCCGCGGAGGCTGCAGCGGCCGATGCTGAGATGGCAGGTGCGGAGGGGGCTGCGGACGCTGCTATGTCGAGGAGTGCGAATGCGACGCCGAGTGACGAGGAGATGACCGTGCTGATGTCCATCCAGGCGCTCGAGGACGAGCAGGACTTCGACCCCGAGGCGGTGAGGCGGCTGTGTGGCACGAACGAGTGGGACTAGTTACTGGGACGAGATCTTGGGCCTGCCGCTGCCACAGGAGGCCTTGCTGTAAGCCCAGCTCCAGAAGAGGAGCGAGCACGAGAGGTTCGAGGTGGTGAGCGAGCGCAGTGACGACGAGGCCTGGCGTGAGACGGGCGAGGCCTCGCACCGGAGCCGCTGGAAGGTGATCAACAAGCGATGTTGAAAGCATGGACGTGCGAGTCCGAGCCAGGCTGGTGGCCAAGCAGTTCAAGAAGGTCGGAGCTGACTCGATCTTCGCACCGCCACCGCCGCTCGCAGCGTTACGGCTCCTGTGCAGCAGCGCCGTGACAGGGCGCAGGGCAGGAGGGATGAGGAAGCTGGCCATCGTCGATATCGAGCGCGCCTTCTGCCACCCTCATACCGCAAGCCTGCGTACGTGAAGCCCCCATACCTGAAGGGTACGACAAAGGCGTGGAGATGCAATAGGGCGATTCACGGCACGCTCAGCGCGGCTGTAGGCTTCCAGGACGAGCCGAGAGACGCGATGGAGACGACCGTCGACGTGGTCAGCGGCAAGGCCTACCCGACGGTGTTCTACATGAGCGAGACGGACATCCGGGCGCGCGGTCACGGCGACGACCTGCTCTTCGAGGGGGAGGTGGCCTGCCTGGAGCTGGCCATCGAGAGGCTGCGCACGAGGTTCGACCTGGCTGTGAAGTACAAGCTCGGGCCAGACCCAGGCGACGACAAGCAGGGGCTGCTGATGAACAGGGTGATCTCCTGGACTGCCGAGGGCATCTTCTGGGAGGCCGAGCCGCGCCAGACGGAGCTGCCGATCGCCGAGCTGGGCATGACGGAAGCTCGGTCGATGGCGTCGCCTGGCGAGCGACCGACGGCTGGCGGCCAAGGCGCTGCCCACGGAGTCGGAGACGTCCTACCGGAAGGTGGCTGCTCAAGAGAACTATCTCGCACAAGGCCCCCCGACCTCAACTGCGCTGCGAAATGCGCCTCGAGCTGCTGAAGCGTACGGTGCGGAACCTCCTCCTCCTCCTCCTCCTCCTCCTCGTCCTCCTCCTCCTCCTCCTCCTCCTTCTCCTCCTCCTCCTCCTCCTCCTCCTCCTCCTCCTCCTGTGGAGGAGGGTACGTGGCAGGACGAGGTGACGCACCTGACGTTCTACTCGGACACGGACCACGCGGGCGGCACGCGCACGAGGCGCTCGCCCGCGGGAGGCTGTGTGCCGCTGGGCTGCCACACACCGAGCTTCTGGAGCAGCACCCTGGCGACGAGCAGCGGCGAGTCCGAATACTGACTACCTACCAGACCACCCCAACCCAACCCGAAGACCCGAATTTCGGGTTGGGGGGGTATGGGCTCCATACGTGTTTTTTCGATGTTCCCGGACCCCCCCCCACTAGAAATCGAGGGTAAATCTGACCCTTCGGGTTGGGTTGGGGTGGTTTGGTGGATGGTGAAATACTACGCGGTGGTTCGCGCGAGCTCGGAGGCCCCGGGCGTGAGGTCGATGTGCTGGGATGCTGGCCTGCAGTGCGACATCGTGGGCGAGACCGAGCGGCGGCTCGCGGCACGGCGAGGCGGCGAGGCCTCGGAAAGTTGGAAGCATGTGGCGACGCGGCACCTGCGGCTGCAAGGCCGTGTGCAGGTCTGGCGACACCGTGCTGCTGAATCAGGGGGACGTAAGACCTGGGTACAGGGGACTCGGAAATCCCCGACGAGGTCGTCAAAAAAATGACGAGGCCGAGCCTGCATTTTGACGAGGCCTCCCGCTGCAGACATCCCACGAAACTCCTCCTCGTCAAAATCCGAGGCGCGGTCGTCAAAAAACGATGGCGAACCCGATTCCTGGCAAACCCGGGTCTTACCTTCCCCCGACTGAAGGTCGGGACTGTCCAGAACCCGGCCGACCTCTTCACGAGGTCCCTCACGAGGCCGAGGGTCATCGCGCTGCTGCGTGTCCTGGGCTTCGAAGTGCCCGGCGGACGTGCCGAGCGGGCCCCGAGGCTCGAGGTGAACACGAGTGAGATCCATGCGGCATCGCCCCTGCTAGCAGCGATGGTGTTGGCGAACACCGCGGGTGGCGTGCGATGTCCGAGTGTGGTGGACCTCCCTTCGGCGAGCCACGAGATGGGCTACCTTCTACCGCTCGTGCTGCTGGTGACGATGCTGCTCGGCGTTTGCCTCGGCATGATATGGGGAAGCTCTTCTACGTCGCGAGCGAGGTGCGTACGAGAAGCCATGCGACCCAGAACTATGAGAGCCGGGTCGAAACCTGCAAGAGCCGGAGCCAGACCTACGAGAGCCAGATCAAGACCTACGAGAGCGAGATGATCACTCTCGAGAGCCAGTGCAAGACTGGTGAGCATGCCCTGCTGTGCGTGACGAAGTGCGGTGAGTGCTACCACTGCGTCAATGGCTGCAGCGGCCTGAAGCGCGCGGTGGTGGTGGCGTCGGTGAGGCCGTGCAAGGCATGCTGCGGCCACGTGTGAAGCCGCGAGGCGAAGCTAGGGATCGAAAGATGATCAGACCATGAGGTTTCTGCTGCAGGCCTGGCGTGTCAGGAAAGAGCTGACGCTTTAGCCGAGCCCCTGAGGCGCACGGCCGGGAGGCCTTGTTCTTCCTGGCAGCCATTTGGCGAAGACGTTCTGGCCCTGGAAAGAGCCACGCACAGATGCCAGATCGCCCCGCAGAGGTGATAAAAGATACACGTTCTGCCTCCCCCCACCCCCTCGTCCATCATAACGGTTCTGGAATAACCAACCCAAGCCTATAAGTCTGTCTGCAACATGCACCGACGTCTGGCATTCTGGAAACATTCCAATAGAACTCTACTTTTCTGGAACAACGAACCACAGCTGAACATTCTAGCATGTCAAACCCCAAGTGTGTATCAATTCGAGGTCCATCCTGCCGCGACCGGCGAAGGTGCCGTCCCCACAAGAGAGGAGTAGGAGTCGCGATGCAATCCGCAGTCCTCTGGAAGCGAGGAAGCAATCCATCGATGCGACGGAAGCCAGCAATGGATGCGACAAGGCGCTCTCCTTCGGCTGCTTCAGGTAGGGGTCCGCCACGTTGCCGTCGTTGAGGAGAGCCACGGAGACCTCGTTCGGGTTGTGAGGAGGTCCGACCTGATCGGGGGCGAGGGAGAAGAGGGAGGGGGACATAAGACGTAGGTTGGCCTGCCTCCAAAGAGGTAGACTCGAAGGAGAGGGCGAAACGAAAAACGGTGGCTGCGAGGCGCCGCTGCTGGCAGTGGCTGGCGCCGCGGGCAGCATGCGACATGCAGGAGGGGAGGGGTGGGAGGGGAAAAGGGCGGGAAGGGCAGGATGAGGGGGAAGCATGAGGAGCAGGAGGAGGAGGAGGAGGACAAGGGGCCCAGAGAGGAAGGGAGGGAGGAAGGCGAGAAGGAAGGGAGAAGGGAGAGAGTGAGGGAGGAAGGACAGAAGGAAGGCATGCTGAGCGCTCTCGCGCCACGCTGAGGCGAGAGCGCCACTCGGACCGACGGGAGCGGAGCACAGATCCTGGAGTATGCGCTGCAGCGCCGCAGCGGGAGCGCCGTGATTGACGGACCGAGAACGTTCTGCTTGACAAGCGCACTTTCGAGACTCGCTTTTGAGATCCTGTGAAAAATGTTAGGGGTCCACACGCGAACCCTACCCCTACCCCCCCACGATTGCTGAGGGGGAGGGTGGGGTTCACTTCGTCTGGGAGCTCCCGAGCGAAGTGAACCCCACCCTTCCCCTTAGAAATCGTGGGGGGTAGGGGTAGGGTTCGTGTGTGGCCCCCTAAATGTGGGAGAGGCGGCGCAAAGCCAGCATCCGATCAACAGAAAGGGTGAAGCACGCCCGCGAGCGTGCCGCCGCAAGCGGGCTGCCGCATCCCTGGGGCGGGAGGGGCGGGCGGCCTTTGTACGAAGAGCGAGTTCCTCAAGCAGGAGATCGACTATAGAATTGAGTTGCCCCAGACTGTTGTGCGTCGAATCAGCGGAAAAAAAACGTACCATGTTCGTAGATCTGCGAAAGCTCTCAACACTTTTGGTAGACTCGACGAAGTACCAATTCTGGGGCCAATCAATTCTGGTCAGGAAATTCTGCACAAGTCGACGTTGAACCTTGGTCTTGCAATGGCCGATGCGAGCTCCGAGACATTCTTCGCACGTGGAAGAGCGTACTATGGGCTGGACGGATCCACCACTCGGATAAGCGACCATCCCTATCGTCTCCTCATCCTGCTCCTCGTCGTCCTCCTCCTGTTGCTCATTCTCCCTCTCCCTCCTTAGAAACGTGCGGTCTTAATTCTGAAGAAGAACAATCAAAATAAGCAATCCCAACTTATCCTCCACCTAGTCCACCCACATCAACATCCACCCCCCTCCTTCAAAGTATTGTTGTGTAGCATACATAACTTCTATACTGATCTGAAAAGCTAAAACCACGCGCGCTTCGCGCGCGTTGAGGTTCTGGCAAGCTCTGGTCGTAGTCTGAAGTGCTCGGGATCGGAAACATCTAGTGCATAATGCGTTCCGTTTGCAACTCCCGGTGGACTCGCTGGGCCGTCTGAACGCCATCGTGGAAGGTCTTGGGGCACTCTTTGGACATCTGGGAAGCATCGTTGGCCTTCTAACGTTCCTCCTGGTCACTTTCGACATGTCCTGTGGCGAATGATCCTCCCTTTCGAGCGATCCATGGGCCACCCCTGGCTCCCAGGTGGGCGTGCCCGCCTTCCAAAGCACCAAGATGGCTTGAACACGGCCTAGGGAAGCCCCTGGACGCCGCAAGATGGATTCACAACGGCCCAAGAGGTTCAGCAGACGCCCCCTGGGGCTTCCAAGAGATCCTCAAGCGGCTCCCAAAATACCGCGAGAAGGCACCCCAGAGGCCATCCCATGTTCCCCAAATGGCTCTTTACAACAGTTGGGGGAGCACGCAATCCAAACGCTTGCCCAAACTCTCACGGTTCGACACACAGGCACTTCCCAAAAGGCAGGGAACGGCGGTGACTCGCAGGAGGCGTCTTCGATCCGTCGCCCCCTGTTGCTTGCAAGGGGGGTGCTCGGCCTGCCAAGTTTTGTGACACGACTGACCCGTCCACACACGGCACCGAACACCAAGACAACTCGTCTTCAAGCCAGCCAACATGGCCCAAGGTGTTCCCCAAGGCGGGCCCATACGGCCCAAGACTGTCACATGTAGCCTTCAAGATGGCACGAGGATTCCAAAAAGCCTCCAAATTCTCCAACATGCCTCCAAGACGGCCAATCTGACATAGAGGGGGCTCAGGATGGTCTGCCAAGATTGCACATTCAAATGTTTTGTTGATCGGGGTTCAAGTTCGGGCATGCATGGCGGGCACGACAGAAAAAAGGGAGGAGGTTAACGCAATGATATCTGAGACGGGATAAGCGAATGAGGGCGAAAGGACAACTATGGGAGAGGGCGAAGGAAGGATGGATGATGAGGTAAGCACGGAAGAGAAGGGAGGAGGAAAAGGAGGCGGAGGAGGAGGAGGAGGAGGAAAAAGAGGAGGGAGGGAGAGGAACCGTCCCCTTCAGGAAAATCCTCCTGGGGTCCCTGAAACCAGCATCGCATAGCGTCCCCCCCCCCACACACACACATTCCGGCACACCCAACACGCGAATCGTGCGCCACAGTGATATCCACCTACGGCGTGAAAAACAATGTTCACATAGCGTCCCCCCGCCCATTTCGGCACACCAGTCACACGGATCGTGCACATCTGGGGGCTCCACCGACGGCCCCAGAGACAGGCTCGGCTTAGCCCCCTCCCGCCCATGTCGGCACACCCCTCAAGAGGATCGCGCCCCACAGGGAGCTCCACCTACGCCTCCAGAGACAAGGTTCGAATAGTGGCACGTCCATCACGTGGATCGTGTCCCTCAAGTAACTGCATATGCGGTACCAGAGGGGGAACTACTTGGCGTCGCACCGCTCACTTCGGCACACCTCTCTCACGGATGATAGCCCACAGGGTGTTCAACGGACGGCCCCATCGATAAGGTTCACACCCCGCCCACCTGCCTACTTCGGCACACCTCTCACACGGATCGAGGCCCACGGGGATCTCGACCTACGGCCTCAAACGCAAAACTCGCATTGCGCCTCCCCCGCCCATTGCGGCACATCCCACCACCCAGATCGTACACACAGGGAATACCACCTAGTTACAGGCCCAAATACAAATTTCGTACAACGCCCCCCCCCCCCCTTGTCGGCGCACCCGTCTCTCGAAGCATGCCCCAGGAGGAACCCCACCTGTAGCACCAGTGGGCAGCTTCGAATGGCGTCCCCCCGCCCATTTCGAACGTGCCTCGCACGGGTCGTGCCAAAGGAGCTCCACGCGCATTCGCGCGCGCAAACACACACACAGAGCCGCGCCTGAACGGCGCATCGGCAGGAAAATTGGCCACGTGAAACACATGTGCATTATAACGGGGTTCGCGCAGACGCTCCCCTGCAGTGCCTCGGAAGCGAATTCCAGCGCGGGGGCATCCGAACTATTCTGCGGATCGTGCCGCCGCGCCCGTGCACACCTGCTCTGCAGCAGCCCGCTTTCCGCACTGCCCCGCGTGATGAGAGACCAACGCCCTGCGCTGCACATGACCGCATATTTTGAGTACCGGTGTTTCGGGGTCACTGGGCATGCTTCTCGGGCTCCTCGGGGAGGGGGTGAAGTTTCTTGAAGCCTCTTGGGGGCCGTTTGGGAGCCTGTTGGGACCTCTCGGGGGCCCTTGGAGGCTTTTGGGGGGGCTGCTGGCGTCCTTGGGGGCCCATTCGTGGCGGAGGGCTCGGAATGTTCTTTTGGAGCTCTCTTGGGCCGTCTGGGGCGCCTCGTGGCCGTCTTGGGGCCTTCGTGGGGCCCTCTTGGGGGCCTCTTGGGACGCCTTGGGGCAATCTTGGGGGCCTCTCGGGCCGTCTTGGACGGCGTGAAGACCTACTGGGCTGGGAAGATGTTGGCCTCCCGGGGCCACCTCGGGAAGCATCGTGGAGCCTTCTTGGGGCGGCGTCGGGGCCTTCTATGGGCGGCTTCGGGGCCATCATTATCGTCACCATCATCACCATCATCATCATCATCATCATCATCATCATCATCATCATCATCATCATCATCATCATCATCATCATCATCACCAGCATCAGCATCTGCATCTGCATCAGCATCAGCATCAGCATCATCATCATCATCATCATCATCATCATCATCATCATCATCATCATCGTCATCATCATCATCAACATCAACATCAACGTCAACGTCATCATCGACATCGTCCTCAGCATCACCATCATCATCAGCATCATCATCATCATCGCCACCGTCATCATCAGCATCATCATCTTCAGAAGCGGCAACATAATCAGCATCACCATCGTCACCACCACCATGACCACAAGCACCACCACCATCACCATCACCGTCCCCATCTCCCAAACCACAATCACCACCAGCATCAGCATCATCTGCAGCATCATCATCAGCAGCATCACCAACATCACCACCATCATCAGCAGCAGCATCATCACAATCATCACCATCATCACCATCATCAACGTCATCAACAACATCACGATCACCACAATATAGCCAGCATCACCGTAAGCATCAGCAATCAGCATCATCATCACAACCATCATCATCAACATCATCATCAACAACATCATCACCATCATCGCCATCATCATCACCATCCTCATCCTCATCATCACCAGCAACATTCTCATCATCACCAACATCAGTATCGTCCCCAGCATCAACATCATTACCGTCATAAGCATCATAATCATCCACAGCATCGTCGTCATGAGCAGCATCAACAACATAATCATCAACATCCTAATCACCGTCACCAGTATTATCATCTGTATCATCCTCATCATCGTCATCATCATCACTATGATCGTCGTCATCATCGTCATGTTCATCATCAGAATCATCATCAGCATCATCACCACAGCCACTATCATCACCACCATCATTGGAACCATCATCACCATCAGCAGCAGCAGATGCAGTAGCATCAGCATAAACACCATCTCCATCATCAGTACCAGCATCGTCACCATCATCATAATCATCATCATCATCATCAACATCAACAGCATCATCATCG